TATTGCTAACTAATTCTTAGGATTCATTTAATTCTCAGCACTTCCCCATGAGACAGGTATTATTATCCCTTTTTCCATGAAAGAATGGAAAGTTGGAGAGCCACAGCAATTTGGTGGATTCCCCCAGTAAGCACTACAGAACCTCATGAAGCCAACTACCTGCTAGTTACCCTGAATGTTCTCTCAATAGTTGAGTGTGCCACTTCAAACTAGCCTATTCCAGCTCTTACTCTGCTTTGGTGGTACAAGCCTTTAATCCCAGCACTCGGGAGGCGGATCTCTCTGAGTTCAAGGCCGGCCTGGTCTACATAGTGAGTTCCAGGACAGCTGGGGCTACAGGGAGACCCTGTCTCAAAAAGACAAAAAAAAAAGAAGAAAAAAAAGAGAATTCACCATGTAAACCTGAAATGAGACAAAACAAAGGAACAACACAACGCCACCCAAATATTTGGTTGCTTATGCAAAAACAAGTAAGTTGAATTGTTTATCTTGCTTTTTTAAAATGTTTCATCTGATTGTGAAGGTACACTATGCAGTGCTTTTTGAGAATTAACAGCCTCATTCAAATGACTATGACAGGGTATTAAATTGAGAAAGACACCGAAGGCTATCTTCCCAGGAGAATGAGCAAAAAGTGGTTATGTAGAGTTCTCATTCACATTCTCAGGTATGTGTGTGGTGAGGCAGCTGGGCGGAAGAGCTGAATTCCAGGGCCTCCTGAGCAGGCTCCCCCTCTTAGCTGAGGTGTGCACCGGCACAACTCTCCTTACCTCCCAGTTAACTGCTTTTTAGGGAAGGGAAGCAGTCTGGAGTACTAACTGTGGTCCAGGGATATTTGAGTTTCCAAAATGTGGGTAGTGGAAAATCCACCAGCGCAGCAGCACGTGGCATGGGTCACAAAGACCAGAGGGAATATCTCTCTGGTAATTCAAGGAACAGAGTCTCCTCTACATGGATTTGGTTCCTTATTCTCTACTAGTTGCTTTAGAAATTGATAGTGTCTTCTTAGAGATAAAGCAGTAATGTATCAAGAGTCAGGAAACATTCTCGTGATAAAGCATGCTACTCATGGGTCTTTCTCCAAATGGTAATAATAAA